GATAAATTCGAACTTTTGTGCCATTTTTTCACATTGAGACGTTTTCTCTACACTGAGATGACTCGTTGTGACTCACTGAAAAACCATTTACTTTAATACAAGTTACTTGATAATTTCCGTTCAGGGTGATGGAGATCGGAGCTATCTAACCAGACATGGTTCCGCTAAAAAATGATAACTTTAGAATAATATTCTTCCCAATGTGTTACATTTCACGGCATACTACATATTTTAAACTCCTCATGTTATCGAGCCGGCCGACAGCAAAACCGACTAGCTCCAATAAGTTGCGCCGCTGCGGCAGCGGGGTTTGAGCCGTGAACCAAGAGATTCAGAACAAACTAACGATATCCACCATAACCCATGCACCACCACAACCACCACTACCAATGGAGCAGTCATAATACTCGATCGAGTGTCAAAGCTATCTTCTATTTTACCCACCGCTTGTTGTTTGCGAAGAGTTATTTGTCGTTGGAAATCGCCACTTATACGTATTTATCCTATCTTGCCGAAAGTAATACCTATTCGTCAGTACCTCTGTACCCTTTGGGATCAAACGGATGACAGGTCCTTCCTGTATCTTTCATGTTATCGTAATTTCACTACATCGGTGAGCCTGATTCTCACTTTACTAGAGAAGTAAATAGACCTGAAAAGATGCATTTCAACTTTGGTTGTCTCTCCAGTAAACACCGGGACAAACAGTCTCTCCATTCGTTCTCATAGCTACATTTGTGAATATCTGGGTTCTGATAGCCTTGTTTGTTCAGTGGTCGGAACGACAGCGTTTTCGTGAAATGCCGCTGTCTAACTTTCTACTGTGCTCTTCATGCTAATCTTCCCATGGTGAATAGATTGGCGTCAGCTGTGAGGATGATAGTTTGACACGGTTATATAATGACGGTAGTTGGCCCCAATCAGATCTTTATATTTGGATAGTGGCGTTTCGTAGCCACCGGATATGTATTTGGTTAACATCACGGAAACACATTCAAAGCTATACACACACATAAACACACAAGCACACACACAAAGGCTGGCTTCTAAACATATATTATTAACTGAAATGCATCATTAGTAATCACGAGATCGAAGTGAACCGTGGGATTTAAAGTGGTGACGTTTTTCTATAGGCATAGGCTAAAAACGATAGTTACATCCATATGAACAATTCACTATCTTCCTATAACAAAAGCGAACATCTTGAAGGTGAATGAACGATATTGACAAATCGTGGGATATAAAGATCGAAAACGATAAAAAGTTACCCGTGATGACTGTCAGTGTATGTAAGCAGGTTTCATGACATGATGATACTAAACCAAAGTGGCTATCTGTTTTCCAGAGCTTCTACTCAGTCCGTCTCATAACTTAAGAATCCACAGCAGCTATTACTGATATGGAACAAATGTTACTTCTCCTTGTTTGAAGTGGATTATCGTTTTCGGTTTTTCACACATAAAAATAGAAGGTCCCGTATAAGCCACCTGCTTATTTGTTTCTTCCCTTGATCGGGGGGTGTTTGAGTGATTGGAAAGATTATTGCTAGGCGTACAGTGCACAATCCATAGGGTAAATCTCAAACTCCTTCGGGATCGCCTACGTCCGAAACCATATTGATATCAACGAATTTAGTGAGACTGCATGTAAACTAATTACCAGGTCTCGACGAAATGAGCAGAATGTTATATCCGTTGTTACCACACCTGAACCGGCATAAATAACTTGTGACAACTGCCTTGTCTTTCGACTGAAATAGTATTATTGAACCATAAAGCCTCTCACATTACAGCATCCATCGTTTGCTGCGGTATAACTTTGGGGTTATTTCAATGAACTGTAGCCTGTTCTAAGTATAGGTTACACAATTATTTGACGAACTGATCTTAAATGTATCTGCTATATACCGGGAAGTTGCTTTATATTCTGAATGATAAGACGCATTGGCGTACCAGGTATTGATATTTTGTGTATGTTCGAGCTCACGGATTCAATGAATCCAAATGTACAAGAAGATATTTAGCGCTGAGCTCCAAGCCACTAATGTATGTCAGCAGTTTCCCGGCCACATCTTTCTGTGTTTGATCGTTTTTAGCGTGTCCTGCTTGACAAGAGCGCCAAAATAGTGGATACTTTGCTGCATGAACCCTCATCCTTCGATACCAGAACATATACCATATTTGTTGGATAGAATCCAATGACTATCTCGGAGATCTCTCACCGCATTGATGGCGTTTTGGGGTGATAGACCCCTCAGCCCGCGGTTGTAAATTCGTGGTAAAGAACAGTTCACATTGGGACGTCTGAACTGTGCAAAGTTTACATCGATTCCAGTACTCAAATTCCCCTGGTCCTGCGGATGGAAAATCTATATTGTACAAATGACACTGAAGCAACATAAATTATATTTCGATGTGCAATCAAAACACCGTACAAATGGGGATTTTGTTTTCTCAAACGCACTTGTGATTCATTCCTTTCCCTGAATATACTCGCTTATTGTTGTTCTATAGGTTTGTATATAGCTGTACAGGCTTGCAAATAAATTTACCGAGAATATTTCTATTCACCGGTAGTTTGTGCTAAAACAGGAGGCAAGAAATGTACAACAGTGATATGGTGTGAATATTATCTTTTGCACGGACATATGCAATTTAATGGTGAATGCAATACAGCTGCAGCAGCAGCATTAAACTGTGAAAGTAATTTAAGGAAAGCAGGCAAGCGGAATGGAGAGCCGATAGTTGCTGAGACCGACTTTAGGTTGATTGATGCCTTTCTCTAACCTGCTCAGAGGCATCACGAAACAAATCAATCCAGGGTAAGCTTTTACCATTTGCTTCACTTGGGGCATGTGTATCTTACACTGCTCGGAATACTAGCGAATCTGGAATCAGAACCGTAATTTCGATCAAAACACAAACGTGCACGAGTGATCGTTTTCCGAAATATCCTAAAACAAACAGGAAAGAAGTCCAAAAAATTAGCCAGTGTCTTATTCCATGACCCCATGTAGATAGAAAGCTATTTACAGATCGATAGCCATGGCTAACCGGGCTTGGCCCACTCGTCGTTCGTGTTCCTCGCGTCAGAATATTGCTGGTTGAGCTTGGTGAAATTAGATTGGTTCAAAATTTCAGATATTTTTTGGCTGTTCTGAACAAATTAGGCTTAGGTCCTTGGTTGGGGTCATGTCGGAGGACCATCACACATCCGCAAGAGAAATGTTTAACTAGTGAATTCTGTCATTATTTGGAACATTCTTTATTTTCTAATCGGGAGAATATCCGGAACATTTAAATCTTTCATTTATTCGGAGAGTATTCACAAAACCAATGGTCAAGCTGTTATGGTAGTGGTCGCTTATATTGAGTGAACAAATGGTATATTACGTAAAATTCTAAGCCAGGATGTGTGCGAAGTTATAAAGGAAAGATGATTTCACAAAGGAGGCGCTGAGGTTCATACATTTTTCGTTGTAGTGGTTACTACACAGGCGTGCAAGATGATCTGCACAGACCCTGGTAACCCACTGAAGGCTTTCTGTCAACACAACTGTGTGATCTTGGAGACAACTATGAACGGTGCCAGCTGGTGTCTCATATCAGACCTTAACAAATCAAGCCAACTATGGAAATCTTTTCTTTTTCTCAATCGCATAGGTCAGAGACCACAAACAGTCCCGCTGTGTTGGGATTCGAACTTTGCTGTTATCGCGAATGTCGTCCCTCCTATTACGAGTGTAACACGGCTTAAACGCAACGAAATGATGGTACGCTTACAATACAGTAATGTGTCGTTGTATACAAGTGTCTACGTGACAAACAAAATAACAGATTATCATTAGTATTCTTTACCATTTTCAAAATCTGCCTATCTTTACCCGTTGTTCGGTTAGATGGAAGCTCGAAGGTGGATGCATCGATCTGATTTGTGATCGATGATCATCATGATTCGTACTGGATTTTATTGCTTCGCTTTACTTGAACTCCGATGTCATTCACCCTTTAATCAAACCTCTTTAATTCTATCCGATTCAGTTGTTCAAATTTTCTAAACACTAACTCTGTTCATAGAAAAAAACGAAATCTCCCCCCCTCACCTCATTTGCCTACAAGTAAATTACAAAGTGTTATTCCACATCCTTGCAAATATGCTAACTAGTACTGGATTTATACATTATATATATATATATATATATATTTAAAGTGGTTTAATAAACCAGGTATTTAATAAAAACGTTGCCACCTAACGATTTGCACTTTTGAAAACATGATTCCGCTGGAATAGAACTAAGTGTATACTCCATGTCATACGTTTCTTAAGTACCCTATCGGTCAACCTAGGATAACGGTCCTCTTTTATCTGCATATTCAGGGAACAAGTATCTATGATTTTCTATCGGTTCAGCAATCACATCACTCTGTCGCACGATTGAGCATACGACCAACTTAGATTATATTCGGTCTGAGTGTAACTGTGTTTCCAGGCCATATTCAAACTGGTAGAAAACAGTTATGCTCATTGTGCGTAAGAAACCAACCAGGCATATCTGGAATCAGTGAAGCGCGGAAACAGAATTTGTTTTCCACACCATCACGAATGGCAATCGGTGGGACTGAGAGACATGCGGTCGGATGTGTTCGGAGGGAATGAAGGAGAGAGAGAGCGCGTGAGTAACAAGTCAGTAAGTATTAAGGAACGACCAAATTTACGCATACAAGTGAAAAATCACACATGTGGATGATTTGGCGAGATGTTTGAATCTCGGCACCCCTTTGATGGCGTGTGAAGTAGAGCAAATATACATATAAAGCGACATATCGAAACAAGTCTTCAGACATGTAGACGCGTATTAAGGATATATCCGAACGGATTAGGCGCATGAGTGAAACAGATAGCAGACGAGAAGACAAAAGCTTGATGCGACATGAAGTTTGCGACCAAAAATGGCGGTAAATCAGTAATCCCTTATCTCGTCATATTTCCACACATAAATGTGTTAAGGTAAATCGCCCATATGCCGTCGTTCTTCCCATTCGAAACAGTCAATGAACAATAGAAGGGTATTTCAGTGAGCATAACACTGAAAATACTAATCATGAGCAGTCGAGACAGCTGACCCTTTTGCAAACTCTCCAGAGGATCAGTTGGTGATCCGTTCGAAGTTTCTTTTCATATGTATATATGATTGAAAATGCACAAGTCTTTGCTTAACGTAGTTGGAACAAAGTGTATACCCTCCCTGATTCAAAGCAACTAAATTGAGTTCCGTCAAAGGATACGCAATAATCACTATCAGGATCGCATTAAAACGTACAGCACATAGTTGTGAACAGTGAACGATTCGTAAGAAAAAAACAGATACATCTGCCTAATAGCCATTCAGATGAGCTCTATGTTCTGTTTTTTTCAAATGTGTATAGTATACCTAATATCCACTTGATCACTATTTCCTGCCCATTAGCCGAATCACATACAGACGAGTGTAATATCACAATCAAAATACCTACCCTTAAATGGAACAGTTTTGCGTTGGTTTGTAAAAACATGAACGTAATCGCACACGGTTAATACTAGACTTGTTTGATGCGTGGATTGGGGCATGCGTGCGGTTCAGCTTCAACCCGGATGGGAAACAGACAAATAGGTACGGGTATTGATTGCACCCAGGTGCACTTAATAACGGTATCTTTTTTGTCGGACATTGTCATGAAAGGAAAGCGGATTAATACAAAAAACACGATTGCCCTCAAAACTCATGGAGAATATAGCTATTTATCTTGTTTGATTGATGATAAGCCTAAATGATGGCTGAGCGGACAATGTTACACCGCCAATTCACTGGCCGGTGTTTGGCCAGAGTTATTCACAAGTTGAGCAGAGTCAACAGAATTGCACCATTCCTACCAGTACAGCGACTTGAGTAATTTGTTATGTGAACCTTCGAAGAGGATAAAGTTAGACCAGGTACAGGATAGGCAGTAGACTTCCGCTCAAATAATTCCATCAACCGTTGTCTTCTCGGAGGTGGGGTGGGTGGGGTGAGAGTAAGGCTTAACTGACATAACTGACATAACTTCTGAAAGAAGGCTTACGTGAAACTATGCAAAAGAAATGGAAGCGAAAATTATCTAAGAGTGATACGAACTAAATCGAAGTGCTAGCTTTATTTGTTCGATTTCAGCTGTTAATATAGTCTCAATCCCTAAGTAATTCTAGAAAATATGCTTTCTATTGTGTATGTTCGTTGATGTTCATGAAGAGTGATTGTCAAAAATGATAAAACTAATGATAGGCGGCAAACCAATTGAATGTAACGTTTCCTTTGGGGAAACTGGCGGTATTTGCCTTGTAAGCCGAGTTAGAATGGAATATCAGCAAGCTGTTTTCCTCTAACATTCGGCTGACTTTATCCACAATCATTAGTTCCGAAACAAGATGGTATAATTTCACATGTGGAAAGGCAGAAAGTGCCTGATCACTCAAGACCATGATGGTATTTCAACTAAGCATCAACAGAATAAGGAAGAGAGCGGGTTACAATTTAACAGCAAAGTGCGCAATCATTTTGGTTGGGAAATCAGCGACGTAGGTCCTCACAAACTATATTGTGCAACTATATACATACGCACGCTACACTACTTAGAACAACATGAAAGCTACTAGAATGAGTGGAATGAATAACTCGTGACAACCGATAAGCAAGATCAAAGGTCGCGAGCCTGATAGCAAACTGCTATGTGTAACGAATGCCTACCAGTACACTTGCATATGTTAGTGGTAGAATATAAAACTCATACTTCATTAGTAGTTCAGTCGAATCAGCACCGGATTATAGTTACTTAAAACCTGTAGCTAAATGGAATACAAAGAAATAGTTCATTGATCTCCAATCGGAACGTTACCCAAAAATGTAAAATAGATGATATAATAATGGACCTCGCATACGTGAACTATTCATAACCGAATTATGGAAACGCCGAGTTAAGCAGTTATTATTCTGAGGATTTGACCAAAATAGCTACTCGTCATCACGTGTGTATGTGTCTATGGACGGGAATAATCCTACATGCACGGCAGCCAAATAGCTGATCAATTTGAACAATGTAGTTGTGTAAAACTTGACCCCATTCCAAATGAGGCTTCCCAATTCAAATTGTTCGTATTTGAGAGTTGCGCTCCATTACGTCACAACAGAATGTTGTCAGCAGACCCAGTTAGACAGACAATAGTCTTCCCATGGTAGTGTCTCCAACCCCGGGGTCAAGTATTACTGTTTTCTTGCTTACCGGGTGTTCTATTTTGGAACAAAATTATCACTCATGCTCACGATGTAGGGCGGGGTTCAATTTCGTGACATCATAATACCACACATTGATAATTCATTTTCTTCTGAAACGTCGTTTCACCTCAGAGTGAAGAGGGAAACGTGTAGTTGTTTATCTAAATCTGCTAAGAAGTCAAGTAATGCCTCCTCCACTCTGCATGATGCGTGCCATAACGATTCACATATTGTTCTTAGCAGAAAGAGTGCCGTACAGCCTCCAGAGTTGTTCCACAACAGACGACACCAGTTACCTTTTAAGTTCCAGAATATGACCATTATGACTTGAGAACACATGTTCAGAGACGAACAATTAAAATAATTGTTCGCCTTCGAACGTGTGTTCTCAGTTACGTTTTACTAATCCATAGTGGACTCTTCTCAGATACACGTCAGTCATTTCTAGGATAATACGTTTTGATAACTTGTCAGACAGAGATGGCAAACTGCTGCAGCAGCAATCTTGTATTTGAAGGTGTCAAGTAAGACACAGCGAAGAATCTCTTTTACCAAAAGCTTTGTCAAGTCACTCTTTTGTGCTATTTTGAATTAATTATTTAGCTTAATGTTTTGGTTTTCCATCAATCTGATAGTGTTTGGTACGATGAAGTGTTACACTTATAAAAAGGAAGAATTCTGATAATGTTGATTCCTAAAAAGTAAACCGATGTTGCGTTCGAAACTCTGATGTCATTTGCCTGCTTCATTCCAGGTGTGACCAAGGATGTGGCTCCAAAGGGTCCCACGGAAGAAGAAATCGAGGCTTCGCTGAATGCTGCCGAAGAGAAACGACGCGAACGCTTTGAAAATATGGAGGAAGAAAGAGAATCCATGAGACAAGTCATTCGAGATAAGGTACGCTCAGTTTTCTTCCTTTTCACATGCGACTTTGTCTAAACAGTTGTATTAGCCAGTTGAGGTGCTCATGTTGCATCAACGAAAATTTAATTTAGACTAAGATACCAAAAGATTCTTCTTTCCAACAGCATATTTAGAGTAGACTCAACCGGATATCAATCAAACATACTCTTGTAAGGCGATGAGTACTATCAAATATCCGTTTCTCAGTAAGTCAATTAAGGATGAAAGTAACCATTGACTACACCAGTTTTTGTATAGATAAGTTACCTTTATATATAAAGAACGGTTGTCTTAAAATTAGTGAAATCAGCTTTACTTGGATGCGCTGTGAATAACATGTCCTATTTGATTTCCAACAGCATCCTTTGAATTATCGAATTTCGTATTTGTCATCTGAAAACGCGTACCATATCAATTGGTAGTATTCGACGTCTTCAGCTGCATACAGGTAACTCTGTACAGTTAGCCAATCCAAAAGCCTAAACACGTGGTGACGTCAGACAGCAAGTTTATCACGAAACTGATGGATCTGACATACCATTTGATCAAAACTCTCATCTTTTATTCGTTAGAAACTCATGACTTTGAGGATGAAAAATATAGGAACAATGGGCTAAGGTTTTTTCCGAGCACTGTACACAATTATCGATTTGAACTGGATAACCTCCGGGCTTAATCTTCACGCACAATCCTCAGTTCATCGATTCAATCATACACTTTGTAGCACTTGGCTTGAGTTTCTCTCTTATTAGAGCTCATCGGTAGTGTATATTCCCCGTCCCGTTCAGCATTTGAACCTCGGACCCATCGCATGGAAGGTGTGTGCGTTACCACTGTGCCCACTAGATCATACTATGGCTGAACTAAATTGCCAATTCATGTTTGTTCAAGTGTTATTTTCAATGATAGTCAGTTCATTTGGCCCGACAGCAACAAAGGGAGACACATTTGACAATCTGTTAACTCCAATCGAAAGCCTCCCGCCAAGTCAGGACCTCCATGCAGGTTACGGACTGATTTATCAACAAACATTCAAGGCTGGATTAATAATTCGAAATTAACTTACAGGCAATTGTGAGTAGCGGTGTGGGATAATTGGATTTTATTTATTTGGACTGACCATCCTTCGGATTTCACCTGCTTGCACAATCACCAGTTCATCGATAGTCTGTTCAAATCAATAAATATGTATTATCCCACACCACTACTTACAAGTAACTGTGAGTTAAATGCGATTTTACACATTGTTTTATCTTGAACGAAAAGAATACAGTTAGGAACTAATGAACATTTTTGAAGCAGTTAAACAAAGGGGTATTTCTCGAGGAAAGTTGAATCATTTTTTCTTTCTTATAGCTGATATAAATTTGTTTTTGCAAAGGGTAACCGACGAAGATATGAACAAAAGAAGCGTTCACAGGTAGTTTACCGGAGACTATAACATTGAACTAACCGGCAGATATGTTTATGCCATTGAGGAGAAGCAGGTCAGATGTCATTAGAATATCGGACTATCCGGAAAGAATTTATCTCGCGGCAATATCAGATTATCAAGCATTGAATGTTTACATCTCATTGTCGATGAGAGCAACATTTTTGGAAGTGACCAGCAAACGCACAGTATACTCGGGTATTGAAACCATTCTTTCCAGTTATTTTCTCAACCGTCCCATAGAACGAGCTGAATTTCCTTAGGCTTATTGCGCACGGATCATATATAGCAGTTTCATTTAGCTTATGTTACTGATTTTTTCACTTTTACGTTACTTATTTTATAAAGAATCATGTACAATGTTCGTTACTTATAAATCCATTGGCCTCCCTATTGGTAAGCGAGAATCGCTTTCCTGTCAACATTGGTGATCTAAATAATACTGAACAGTTCGTCAATTCAGAATGTGAAAAAAGAGCAGTGCATTCCGAATCCTAATTTGGTTGATCGTGATAAAAATTGATTGCGGGAAAGAATGCGGTTACTTCTCATGAGCGGAACTACGCAGTACTACATGAGAACAGATCATAAACGTTTTTCAAAAATCACTCCTCCGATTTCAAAAGTAATTCATATGATCAAGGAAACTTGAAATTTTGTGTGTGATGACTGCTGAACGTGTCCCGTGGCTTTTTACATTCACATGACTTTATAAAGAATAGTACGATATAAATATGCATAGGTCAGGTGAATACGAAAGCGTTACCTTTAGGCAGCACTTATAAATTGTCAATTGACAAACGAAAAGCTAATCAATGCTCTAAATTTATGTGTAGCACTACATCATCAGTGGGCAATACCCAATTAACCATCGCAATCACGAGTAGAGAGCCGGCAACTGACGACGGAAAATTGTAACGCGCTATCATTGATCATGATATGGCTACGGAAATTGTGAAAAGGTCAGTAGCCCTAATGGGATTAAAACCCACCCATGGAAACAGCCACTCAAAAAATATGAGTGCAATCGGTGTAGTCTGGTAGCTCAGATGATGTAGTGTACGAAGCGTGGTCCGCGACCACAAGTGCGTTCGAATTCGAGCAAACCCAGTTAACTGTTCACAATTGAAAAAAATTTTCACTATAATAGTCCGAACCATTAATATGGAAGTCATGGGAAAAAAGATGCAGAAAGGAGCACTGTGGGGAGTTTCAATTTAGTTTGAAATAACTGTTAGTGTGCTGTTTGTCCTCCTCTGGGCAGACCAAAATGGTCATCGGGAAAAACTTTCTACAGGGACCCGTTGCTTCAGTTTCGATTAGACCTGTATATGCACATGAGAAATTAAATAGACTACCGTGAATTGGAACGGAGACTGAAATCGAGAAGATCTAAAAAGATTCTCATTGAACGGCGATTCGAATTGACTTAAATAAAATTTCAAATTACAACTGGATAGGCAGTTGGATCGCGCAGCCAATGTAAACTATATTCTGGAAACGTATAAATTATCGACGTGGATATGTACATCACCATCTCAATATTTTCCGAGAAATAAGCTATGGTCATCCATCTCATTTTTGAAATAGATGGAGTTCATGTCATTCTTTAAATTCGCATCTCATGTGTCCTAATACGATGAATTATGTATTTCAGCTAGTTAGTTGGGACCATTCCATCATTAGTGAATTGTTCTGTGTTACCATTTCATCTCACGAGTTTTCCACAAAATGTCAACTATGCATTCGGCAGTCAGTATGATCCGGACTACCAACGGCTTTCGATTATGAACGTTTGCTAAGGCACACACGAAGGACGATTCTTATGTGAAGAGCTTCACTCAGTTCTAAACAAAATTCAAAGTATCTTGTGCGTCTGCGAAAGTGTTACGTGAGTTAAGCACTAGTTACAGGGTTATATTGGACGCAAAATTATTAGATCTCCTCGTCATAGGACAATGATCCTTCAAATCCAAAGGATTACTTCAGAGTAAAAAAAGTTCACAATTCCCTCATCCGTACAGTGTGCAATGTTCAGATCGAACTAGATTGAACTATTATATTTCGGATTATCTTTCACAATTCCTTTCAGGAAGGATAATTTGATGCGCGATGAAAAACACTGCGTTGTGCTCTCGGTCTGGGTGAGGGAGGGGGAGGAAGCTTTTATTCAATTTTTCGGGAACTCATTATTGGTCTTTCAACTTTAATCTAATACAAATAATGGTTCAATGTTATCCATGCACAAACCATGCAATTCGCTAAATTTGTCCGGAACAATCAACACGTATAGCTTAATGATGCACTTTGAGTATCAAATCGCTATACATGGGCTCGAGTTACCATGTAAAATCTCTTGACGTTGCAGCAGCTGCGGTACTTGAGTGGCCAAAAATGTAGCCCTAACATTTGACCGACTTCATAGAAAATTTAATGTCGCCGTATAAATCGAAGCGGTAGACTATTTCATCTAAACAATTATGCTCGATGAACGCTCATTTTTTTCAAGTCAATTTTCTGCAATTGATTCCCAAGACAATTGAACTATTGATTATTCATTTCAAACACACTATTTTACTCGCCACTGTGCCTCAAGTTTCTTAATTTAAAATTTCAGTACGGAATAAAAAAGAAAGAAATGCTTGATGTCAATGAACCGGAAACTTATCGTCGCCCATCGACTCCTCGACATTCCGTCCTGATGGTGAATCCACCAAAACGAACCACAATCCCTGAGGAGGATCAGGGTACAACAAGTGAGGATCCCTATGAACACGTCGGTATTAGCAAAACATGAACAAATGTTTTATCACTTAGAATGTAAATAGTGGACAAATAATCCAGGTTACCATCGTGATATTTTAAACTGGAATGCATTACGAACTGGTATTTAATAACTGCGTGAAGTTTTTTAGGCAACATAAGTCTAAATATAACCTGCGTTTTGTTTTCCTCTGTGTTAGCTAACTGGATGATGCAAATCGTTCAGCTGTACCCTCGCTTCGCGCATTCATACAATCTTATTCTACATGCACCTGCAATTTCATTTGATCATGCAATATTGTTTTCTTTTTGCTACATGTCATTGTTTATCGCGACCAGGCTTGCTGCTTTTTTTAATACATACTTTCGGGTGATGAACAGTAGACGGGGAAAGCCTCATAGGCACGAGGAACTGCTTTTCAGTGGTGGAAATCAGTAACTAATCCTCGGGACTTGGAGTGGCGAACCACAAAGGGCTCCCGTAGGTTAGGTTGGTTATTGGTCCGTATGACAGCAGCGCCTGTAGTTGTTGCAACAGCATGTCATCATTCGTTCGGTCTCAGTCCTTCAATCAGTATTGTGTGATTTCCGACCAACACGGAAATCTATCTGTTTTGTTCCGATATCGCAAGCTTTCCTCAATGCAGTCATGAACACCACGCCATATTGTTTATTATTCCGATACTCGGTCTACGAGGCAGGTGTGGTATTACATTACTGTCAAAATAATCCTACAGAACACAGGTAAAACAACACAACCGAGGGACGAACATGCTCATTTTCAGAGATTCGTTTTAGTGGTAATATGTCTCACCAGGTATTATTACATAGGAAAGTAACTGTCTTGGATAAATCAAATAAGATCACAGAACACTATAGAAACGATTATAACATGGCACCGGAAATCTGAGCACATATTTACTTGTACACACATCCAATCATCTAGATTACTCGTGATATGGTGTGTGTGGAGTGGACCCGGGTAACCTTAGTGTGGGCACAGAGAGGGAGGGTTTGTGCAAGTAAATGCCCACCGCTTCGACTGTTGCCATCATCCACCAGCGAACCCGCGTCAATAATCGCCCGCAAAATGTTTACAGGGGTGGAAAGTCACGATCGCGTCCATAATGTGATTTTTTTTCCGCTAGATGTGAAACCACTGCACCGGAGAGTTACGTAACCGTTCCGGTTTTCAGCTACGCAAGGTGGTGTTTACGAATCCTGACCGCCTGACCGTACGGTTTATGTACGCTGTTCCACAAGAACAAGTAAATGCTTATACACGGAATGAGGCCACACAGTCTGGAGCTTTGTCCCTCAATCGCAAGCACACAAGTGACTTGAATAAGGCTTGGATGCATAGAAAGTCTTCCTAATCGAGTCGGATAGATCTTTTTGTATGATCTCAGCTGATGTGTCGCCTTTAAACGACAAAGAGATGCACGGGGTGCTCAGCCAAGTAGTGGCAGTGATATATATTTAGATTTCATCATCTATATAATTCGTCAGTGGAACAAAGTACTTGTGTGGGGTTAATAGAACCTGAGTTTGATAATGGTCCATTACGATGTGTTTCGAGTTTAAGAAAATCATTTGAGTAAATATGCTAGACAATTTGGCGGAATTGATCCGACAGTAAATTGTTGAACATTTTACTGATATCTTCGGTTATATATATAGCTCTCTATCTATGCTTCGATGATTTGTATGTTAGATGACAATAACCGTAACAAACACTACTTAAGCGTCTTCATGGAAGATTTTAAACTAAGTAGTACTTCAATAAATGGACAAAATATCCCAGGAGGCACAACCGAGGTTCTTGCGGTTCGTCAAGCATGCGTATCCGGTGGTCTTGTGTCTTTTCATTCATGTATTTGTACCCAATGAAGTTTCTCTCATATACTGCGCATTGTAAAACAGTCCATGAAGACCAATACACTGTATTTGTTGCTATTATTATTAGTAGAGTAATGAAAATTTGATGGACTAGTTCTGAAAAGGCTGTTAAAAAATTGGTCCGGCACTGCAAATGAGGTTATGGTAAGGAATATGCACATAAGAGGGTTCGGGTTTTGGTCCAACAATAACGGGTTACCTGCCCGCTGGTTGTTCGTTTGAACGATCACTTTTCTGGTCCGAGTTTAATAATGTCAACAGTGCTCAAGTGCGTACTTTTGTTTACGCAAAAATATCCTGAAAATGCGACCAGTGGTCGCTGGCAATTTAGGCGCAAAACCCGGATTCCATACCTGGTTATGAGGTACCTGCCTTTATAGGCCCTGATATTGTCCAGGTTTTGGATCTTTGGTTCTACTTTGTGACCTCGAGCCTTTGGTAGTTTATCGACCAAGGCATTCATACCATCCAACATCAGCGTGCTAAACCTCTGCAAAGGACATTTTGAAAGTTAGTAAGTTTGCTACTGATGTTATTATAAGAGGGTGTTTGTTTCTGATTAAGCCCATTTTAATATTGATTCTTTCGATCGAGCAGATACATAAAACGACTTCGGACTGACGCGTGATTTCCATAGACAAAATTAGATAGAGTTTGCCATCTTGCATTTTGAGTATCACACTTAATCTAGCGGGCATTACGTGGTTTTCCACTCCAATTCCTTTCTGTGACTCAGATGACCGGTTTCCGTCCTCAAACGATAGGCTTTTTGGACATTGGACATTCATCCCGTCTGCTGTTCATCACACAACTTTGTGTAATAAAAATCGAGTTTCCATTATTGTTGATTGATGGTTTTAGTGTGAGAATCAAGTCGAAAATTTTATTGAGCTTATGTTGGGTTCGAACGGGATCTCGGTGACTTTCTTCCAGGTAATCAATAAAAATCAGACATTCAATATTTGAAATACACATCTTTTCGAACCCAATATTCTGAAACGAATGATGAAATATTTGTGAAGACTTCTTCTAGCAATTCAACTTATGGAAAATAGGGACCAATAAGTTTCTGAACGCGTGGAAGATCAATACATATTCTCAAAATGAAATAGACTTTGCTCTTCAATCTGAATAATCTTGCAATATTTTTTGCAATTCAGCGACAGAACAACTTTCTCTGCAGAGAGAGAAAGTGCACAAAAAGCACGTTTTGATCCCACCACGCAGACAGCTGCACGAGCAAATACATGCCTTCGGGGCTAACCGCCGTTAGCACTTTATTGTCGATTCCCCAAAAATACTGGAGAATATAAGTAATGTGCAGAGAAAATTTCTTGTGAAATGGTGGAATATGGTCAGTAGCGCACGGGTGATTTTTGAATTGGAAAAGGTGGTATTGATCACAGTACTGTCTACTCCACTTAAGGAAACCCAATATAAATAGTAAATCGCTAGTTGCTTGTTCTTCCTCTGAAGAAAACAGTAACAAAAATAAATAAAGCCATTTAATCCAAGTTATTCGAATCTCCAGTGTCTTTGCATAGTTTATTTTAGTGTCCTGGTGCTCACCCTGAATTCCGTTTGAAAGCGACTCAATTTTTCACAGTATCTGGTAAGGAACTGCATCAAATTACGGATGTTATTTTACAAAACAAATTTCAACAAAGGTACAATAATAGATCAAACGATCGTACCCTTACAAAGGAAAATGTGTTGAAACTGTATAAGACCTGATTAGTATACATTTCAAATTTTGCAACAAAACTGACCAACGCAAAAACTGCTTTGTATACATCCAGCGCTTTTACATGGACTAACAAAGAGTGTTAGTATCACATGTGTAATTCTGGCAGGTGAACCCTTGTCACAATCACCTCAATTATTTGCTGGATAGTTTTAGTACCATCAACGAAAATCGACTCATGCATATGAAATTGGTAAATCTCAACTTGACACTTTCATCTCTTCTGTATATTACGTGTGTGATTCCCCATAGTCATGGCAACTCTTTAGTTCTATTTGTTCATTCCGAAAATTCTCTGAGCGGGATTTTTGGCGGACCCTCAAGCAATGTATAATAGGACCATGAATATTATTTTCCGGGTTCCCGCAAAAATGTGAAGTGAGAACGCATCGGCGTTGAAAAGTTGTAAGAATACAAGAACCAAAGTGTATACGAAACAGCTCACGTTTTTCGGCGCTTATTGGGTTTGTTTATCATTTGCATACTGCCACGCACCATTTCAGAATACGTTTTAAATAGGAGTGAGATTCGTTTCTGAGAACAAGATGCCAAACAATAACCTGTCAATTAGAGCCGTACAGATTGCCACAAGGATAGAAGTCCTGTTGACCGATTAATGTCATAAACATTAACTAGCACCACTACCGAGGTGGTAAAACATCCATCGGTTTAACATAAACCTTGGCTCATAGATGATATTTGTCATCAGTTAACCTAATAGAAGAAAATACAGCAATGAAAACATCTAAATTTTCTGTTTCACACACACAACTGATCGAATTTGAATTTATAATTGTACAAACTTCTTTTTTTATCATGCTTACCGCTTGCAGTACAAATACCTACAGCGTTACGTGAGGTGGCGACCAAGGCAGTGGAATTACCCCAACGTTTGATGACTGAGGCAAATAATAAATGTGTGCTGATGTGATGCAGGGTTGATACATTTCATATTCCCATCTGCTTGTGTGGTATGTTTCTCTACTTGAATGTTCTTGTAAAACAAACATACTTCGTAACTCGCAGATAGGATAAACCTGCGTATTCCTGCTTCTTCATGCAACCTGTACTGAATTACTGAGATTATGTTTCGACAATATCATTACGATCCATGTCAACATTTCCGCAAATTTATTTCTTTGTTTTATTTCTGAAATCGAAACCAATGTCTTGTCACTGTTTCAAACGATTTGTTAGTTCCTCTATGCGATTTCTTAATACCTGTTTATTCTACATAACTGTATTGATCCTACACATTTGACACTCTCACCAATGACCATCAGTATCACCGAGGGAGCAGCATGCAAACCATTGCATCGAAAATCATCCCCTGTCCATGATGCTTGCTGTTCCATTTGTGTACTATAATAAAACATACGTGATAGAATTCG